GGGAGCGTCAGAGACAGTGCGATTGGTACAGGACAGAGCCGAGTTTAGGGCTGTTGTACATAGGGTCGGTATGAGTCGAAGTGACTCGACTGCACATAACAACAACAACAACAACAACAACAGGGTTTCCACAAGAAAAAGACTGATAACTCAATTATACAATGGGCAGATGTCCAACAGACACATGAAGAAATGCTCAAAGTCACTGGCAATAAGTGAGATGCAAATCAAAACCACAATGAGTTATCATCTCACCCCAACTACAGTGGCAAAGTTTAACAGGACAGCAAGCTATAATTGGAGAGGATGTGGAGAGACTGGAGCTCTATTACACTATGTGTAGAATTGTAAAATGGTACATCCACTCTGAAAGGCATTTTGGTGTTTTCTCAAAAAGCTGAACATAGAGATTACATATGATCCAGAAATTCCAGTGCTAGGAATATACCCCAAGGAAAACCGAAATGAGACACAAGCAGAGATTTGTACATTAATGTTTACAGCAGCATTATTCATAATAGCAAGAACATGGAAACAGTCCAAATATCCATCAACAAACAACTGGATTGAGAAATTATCAAACATTCACACAATGGAATACTATGCAACACTTAGGAGCAACGATTTTAAAAAATACTACGTAATGTAGAAGTGGGTGGAAAATATTACTTTGAGTGAATTCACACTGATGTTTAAGAACAAATACTATATAAGACCATTATTGTAAAGACAGAAAGATAGTAAGATGTGCATGGATATCCAAAGAAGGAAGGGGAAGGGGCAGGAGGGCTTAAGAGTCGGAAAGGGGTAAAATCACAGGGTCGCACTGTTTGGTGGGTTGAGGGAGGGGGTGAAATAAAAACACACCAATGCACATGAGTGACACACCAAGTAAATAAATTATTGCATGTAAACCAAGACAATTTTTTAAAAAAGATAAATACAAGACATTCATTTTAGATTATTTAGAAATAATTTAATTAGACTCAAAGGAATCTATTTTAGAAGGAAAGCATGAAATCCACGTGAGTGGCTGAATGGACTTACGGGGAAGGGCTCCTGCCAGCTGGCTCCCACGATGGAGGGCCGTATGATGGCCATGTTGATGTTCCCTTTCTCTTGTTGGAGCAACATTTCTGCCAAGGCCTTGGTGTAGACGTATGTATTGGGCAGATCCCCAATCAGCTTGGGTGTGATCTCTTCAATGATAGAGTCATCTAGCCACCTGAATAAAGTGAGAGTTAATAATAATTATTTATATAATTATGTAAATAATATATTAATTAATATATATAATGTTTTATATACATGGAGTTAAACAATAAGCCAAAAGGGAAATGTAAGATCCTGAGAGACATGCATAACTTTCGTCTTCCTTTAGTTGGCTTTGTAATTAGGAGCAGTTACGGGAATATCAACGCGTTTCTGCCTAAATCGCCCTCCATGAGTTCTTTGTTTACGATCATGAGGTGCTGGCAGCTCACTTAATTGGTACATAGTCCAAGTAAAGCCTAATGCACCAGTCTCAATGTCTTCAACTTTGAATTTTTCAGAAACACATCCAATGCATCAACAAGTGAAAGGCGCTACATTTGACAGGCTTACAATCATTTTGAGCAAGAGTACAGGCTCTATTTTAGAGGTCTGTTTAAGAGTCTATGCTAAGAACGTAGCCATTATTTCCAGGGATTTCCAAGCAATCCTGAGCGCTTTATTAACTCCTAGTAGTCTTGTTGAGTGGGGTGATTAGAGTTCTCCGAAGCAGAGTTAACAGCACATTTACAAAATACTCCCACCCACAAAGGAAACAAGGATCAGCAGAAACCAAGTCACCCTGGCATCATCTATTTTAAAAAGATGTCAGAACCATTTTAATCACCACAAAGTCTAACACGCCTCTGAAAAAGCAACACAATTATCCTCAATTAGGTATTTCATATTTCTCTCAGCTGGTAGGTCTATTTGATGAAACTTTTAAGATAGGCTTTTGAAGAACTATGCTTCCTGCGTATTTCCGTGGAATTGTTATCATCATTGCCCTCGGTACACTGATTCCTCTGATACAGGGAGTACAGAGTATAAGAATGTAATTTTGATTAGAGAAAATCTGAGTTGTTAGTGCTATTTTACTCCCACGCCAAAGTGCTGATCTGTAAGATTTGCTTAATTTCCACAGTCAGAAACACAGCTCACAATTCCAAAACTTCCCTGTGGTATTGAGGGTGGGACATGGGCACTGATTTCCATGTGCCTCTACTCGGGCAGTGCATTCTAGATGTGTAAATGCGATTTAAAGGAGATGAAATCAAGAAAAGTTGATAAATTCTTAGCATTAAAAATAGCTCTAAATACTTAAACAAATGGGAGATATTCCAAGTTTATGTCCACACTGTGTTAAGAAGAGTGTGCGGGCCTCCACTGCTTCTCCGACCTCATCTCACTGGGGGCCAGCAGCAGAATGACTGATCTAAAATAATTTCTCTACAACACAAAGTATCTCCACTCATAAAAATTAGATCTGCAAGAGATGGAACTTAATTTTTTTTTTAAGATAATAGCAAAAACAAATTCCAAGAAAACATCACAATTGACCTGTGCATTTGGGGCATATCTCAGGGATTGGAGTTTCTAATGTTAATGTGAATAGAAAGAGTATTATTTTCATATATTTCCAAGACTGAAGTACAAACACGGTTGTAATGTTCTGTGGAGGGTCTGCCTGACCACCTGTTAGGTCCACGCCCACTCCACTATGCTATCTTCTTGGTACCTCTATTTTACTTTTTGAAACAAACAAACAAAAATTACCATTTCTGCCAAATTCTTAGTTTTCATTAAGACTTAACACAGTGGCAGCTTCCCCAAACACTGCATGACAAAATAAAATGAGACAGTCCACTGAGCTTCCAAAGAAGAGTTCTTAACTTGAGCAAAACAGTTAATGAGCATAGATTCATCCCTTTGTGTGGTTGCTACGTGCCGAGTTGTATGTGTCGAGGCAGAAGTGCCTCAGAGTAGCCCCTTGAGAGGGTTTTCATGGGCAGTAAACTGCTCAGGGAGAGACTGTCTATCTTTCTGCTGTGGAGCAAGTGGTGGATTCAAACTGTGTGCCTTTGGGTTGGCAGCACAACTTCTCGACCAGAGGCCATTAGAGCTTCTTATATCCATATATAGAATATCAAACACAAAACTACTCCCTTTAAGTCAATTCCAACTTCTGGTCATCCTTTTTCGTGTTTCTGAGGCTGTACATCTTTAAAGGAGAAGATGGCTCACTTTTTTCCCATGGGGCAGCTGATGGTTTCAAACTATAAACAACCTCTTGGCCAGCAAGCAGCTTGGTAGATTATATACTATGTTATCACCTTATATCACTGGTTCTAAACCACCTTTTGTAATACAATCTGAGGGTGAAACCAAGTTTCTCCTTGGAGGCTAGGATTATAAATCTTAGTCTAGCATACTTTAGGCATGAAGCTGGAAGAGATCAATCATTGGAAAAAGATTTCATGCTCGGAAGGGTGGAGGGAGAGTGCAGGAGAGGAAGACCTCAGGTGAGATGGATTGATACAATAACTGTGGCAATGAGGGTTGGTGTGTTGGAGTCAGTGAGCCTGGCTTATGACAGGGCACACTTCAGAGTTGCTGTACATAGATAGGGTTGCTATGGATTGCAGGCAACTTGACAGTACATAACAACAATAACAACACAATCTGATAAACCTTATGCTGCCCTATCTACCCTAAATCAGTGGCAACAAATCTAGGGACACACTGTTTGAGGGATGCCCTCTTCAGACCCACACTCAGTTCATGCTCTTAATCATCGTTTGAGTTGCTGCTCATTTGTTCTCCATCCCATTGTAAACAATGTAAAAATTATAGGAGACATTATATCAATCACAGTATATTTCTGAACTTAATAAAATTCTCAGTGTGCTAAAAAAACGTTTCCGATCCCTGCGCTTTTGTGGGTGAATTCTAAACTTCTTAAATTGCTTCAAAAGAAACATACTCACTGATTCCAGAATACAATCTCATCTCATCTCATCTCTCCCTCTCTCTCTCTCTCCCTCTCTCTCTCCCCTCTCTCTCATTTTCTCTCTCTCTCTCTCTCTCACACACACACACACACACACACACACTTACGTAAATGCCATTGTATTTTTGTTTGGAACTTAATGACTCAATCTCAAATTCTTATGAACAATTTACTCCTTGCCAGATGAAGTCACAAAAGGAGTATGTGATGGGGGGTTAATCATAGGGTCGCACAATTTGATGGGTGGAGGGAGGGGTGGGTAAAGGAAAGGGGGATAGATCTGGTGTGAAAAAGAATGTCTATGAACTTTGTAAATAAACCAGTATGAAAGAAAAATTTTACTTAAAAAAAAAAAAAAAGGAATGTGTCCCCCCCCCCGCCCTTTCGTGGTGAATCAGGAAAAGCTTTTCCTGATTTCTAGGAGCTGAGCAGTGGACACACTAGGAGGCCCATAAATCTCGCTTTGCCGTAACCTTGTCTGAATCATGTTCTTACCTTGATCAGCATAATTTAGAATAATTGTACTAGGTACCAGTGTGTGTTATGGGTTGAATTGTGTTTTCCCAAAAATAAATGCTGTAAATGCTAACCTCTATGAATGTGCTAATTACCTGATTTATGATGGGATGGCATTTATTCTGTACTGAGGCAGTGTTAAGGTGGCTGCTGTGCTTGTTAAGTGTCTTCTCGTTGAGTATGATCCATAATGACCCTATAATCAATAGTTCTGAACTCTGACATGTCCTATCATCCTTGACATATTTGAATCGATTGCCATAGATACTGTATCAATTCATCTCACTGAGGGTCTTCCTCTGCTTTGCTGACTCTCCACCTGTCCAAGCATGATGTCTCTTTCCAAGGACTATCTTCTCTAAACAACATGTTCAAAATATGTGAGATGAAGTTTCAACATCTTTGCCTTCAAGGAGAACTCTGATTGCACTTTCTCCATGATATATCTATCTGTTAGTTCACTTTTCTATCTATGAAATAATCAGCACTCTTCTCCAACACTACAACAAAAATGCATTAATTCTTCTCCTTATTTCTAGTCCAGCTCTCAGATGCATAGCAAGTGATTGAAAAGACCATGATCTGATTCATGACCTTTACCTTAGTCTTTAAACTGATACCATTGCTCTTCAGGACTTTGGCAAGATCTCTGACAGCAGACTTTCCCAATGCTATACATCTCTTGATCTCCTGACTGTTGGTACCAAGGATGTTGACTGTGGATCCAAGCAAGATTAAATTGTTGGAAATTTAATTTCCCCCCCCCCATTTATCATGATATTGCCTATTGGTCCAGGGAGTGAAGATTTTTGTTTTCTTGATGTTGAGATGTAATCTGTATGGAAGGCTGTAATCCTTGATCTTTTTCAGATCCTCTTCACTTTCAGCAAGCAAGGTGTGTCATCAGCATAATTCAGGTTGTTGATGAGTCTTCCTTCAATCCTGATGCCACACTCATCTTCATAAAGTCTATCTTCTTAAATAATTTTCTCAGCATAAAAATTGAGAGGTACAGAAGAAGGATACAGCCTTGACACCTACCTTTCCTGATTTTAAACCTTGATGTATTCCTTGCTTTATTTGGGCAATAGTTTCCTGGTCTAGGTATAAATTTCATATAAACATAATTAAGTGCTCTGCAATTCCCACTCTTTTCAAGCTTGTCATAGTGGCTATGATCCACACAGTCAAATGCCTTTGCATAATCAATGAAACACAGATATACATTCCTCTGATATTTCTTGCTTTCAGTCAAGATCCATCTGACATCAACAATGATGTCCTTGTGCCATTGCCTCTTCTAAACCCTGCTTGAACTTCTGGCAATTCTCTGTTGATGTATTACGTGTTTCTGGGTGATCTTAAAAAAATATTTTTGTTGCTTGTATGTGTTAATAAAGATATTGTTTAATAATTTTTTTCATTCTGTTGGATTGCCCCTCTCAACAGTCTGTGCCTTTACCTGGCCAACTCACTGGAAGAGATCCCTATTTGTTCTTATTTTTAAAGAAGCATGATCCACAAGTTAAAGAAGCATGTATTTTTGAGTCCATTTCTTATGAGATTATACAAAACCCTGGAAGAGTAGAGATGGGTTAAAAGATATGCCAAAGCCCATGGAGCCCAAGGAACCAGGAAGCTGAGGAGGCACGGACCTTCCTCCAGAG